TAACACAGAAACAAATAAGTTCGAAGTGCTTAAAATACTATACCCAGTCCAAGAAACGGCCATCCTCTTCCATACCCTGTGGCCCCCTAAACTCAACAAATCATTCAACTGCAAAATTAACCCAATAAAAAAAAACGAATCTTTTGTCAGAAAACAAAATTATTCAAAGAAAAACTTAGAACAAATATGAAACGTCTAGAGCTCGAGCTAAAGGGTAACATTATACGAAGTTAGAGCTGGGAAAAAGGCCGAGATACTCACGTTATCATAGACAGGGGCAATTCGGTCAAATAGGGCCTGTCTCTCAGCTGCACACCGAGCCGGTTTGAAGATGGACCGGAATTCCGGCGGCCGCTGCCGGCCGGTTGTGGACGGGAGAGTGAAGTGAAGAGTAGCCATAGCCTTTTCAGTTCTGGGCGAGTGAACGGTCTAATTTACCATCAAAATTTTCCTTTTTTTTCCCCTTTCCCTTTCAAACTAGTAAGGAGTGATTGTTTATATTTCATCTAGAAATTATTTGGTCATTTTAAAAAAAAATTGGTATGATTACTTGTTAGTGGATATATTAAAATAATATTTAAAATAAAATAATTAAATTTGATATGATGTAAAAATAAGAGTGATTGGACGAGATGGTTAATTAAAATTATGTAAGTGGATGAATAGTAAATTAAAGTTGATGTGATGTGTAAGAATGATTGGTGTGTATTACACGGCTGCTTGTTAAAAAAAATATTCTTAAGTTTTAAAATTAATGAGAAAAATATATTAAATTTAGTTTACTTTTTTACAAAAAAAAATATATTACTATATCATATAACTACTTAAAATATAAATATATTAGTTGATAAATAATTTTATTTTTCTAAATAATTTTATTATGGTTATAAAGATAAATATAAATTATTTTTTTATACATACAATATGGATATTAAATCGAAGCTCATCAAAAGAAGGTTAATTTGATATATTACATATGTAAAACTGATAAAAAATACAAAAGTTATTAACTTTTAAAATACATATACAATTCAATAGTTATAATAAGGAATGATATTAAAATGCAATTAATGCATGTAACATGACCATAAATAATCAACATATTTATAGTAATCTGAACTTAATTATTTTTGGTTTGAAATTAAATTAAAATTTATCCAAACCTAATAACGAAGCATGTAATTTTGCCACATAGGATTCCGAAACACCAGAAACAACCACGTACGCTCAGCGCGTTCTGAATTAATATATAGAGAAATTGGAGATAGTGAGATTGAGTTAAATTTGAGTTTTGATTGGTTATTTTTGAAGTGAATTGATAAACAATCACCCCCTAAGTAACCTAATATTTTAGAAATACCAAGTTAGTTTTTCAACATTTTATGTACGAACCTAATATTATTGATTTTGAATAATATTATTTTTTATTCAAACCAAACTATGAAGCATGTTTTTCCGTCAAGTAGGATTCCGAAGCGTACGAGACTATCACCTAGACTCAGCGCATTCTGGCATATCCAGTATTGTCTGCTAACCGACAAAGCCCGTAAAAGTGACTACTAAATTTGGCTCACTACATTGTTGGGTTTGTAAAGAAGCCCAGCCCAACTAGGCGAACAAAGAGTAAAAGGCACCTCATGCCATAAACACACATCATGCAGCATGTACGACGAACAGCATGCTACCATACATAAAAAGATTAGATTCAAAATCAGTTGCATTTGTTCACGTTATTATTTAAGTCATTGAACTACTTGAAACCCATTCACAAAAAAAGTGAACATTTTTTTTTTTTTTTCAAATATTATTTGATAGATAATATTTTCTAAAAGTCACTAGCATACAACATTAATTTCTTCTGGGAATTAATATACAACAAGCTAAATATATTTCATCAAAACATGTCTGCAGATTAATATATTAAGAAAACAAACTAAATATCAGTCTCTTCCATGAAGAAATGCCCAGACAGATTATCCATCATCGCCAAGTGCATGTTCTCAGAAGGCTTCCAATGCCTTTTCCTCTGGTTTATGAACCAATTGTTTATTTGCTTCTGGTCGAGCCCTGTTGTTTCGGCTAAAGACATCTTATCCGCTTCCTACATAAGTATTGCACCGCAAAAACGAGCAAAATTATGGTGCAAAAATCAAATGCCAGATGATTAAATATAGGCACTTCTTGTAAAAATGTGAATAATAGCCGATTTGCCCAATGAAATGACACAATTACCCTTACTACAGAAACCGTATTTTCAGAAACAGATTTTGATAGTAAGGGCAATTGTGTCGTTTTGCATGGCCATTTAGTGATATTACCACGTTGAATTAATATATGATCGAGAGTCCGGGATTAATTACCAACCGTTGGGTAAGGCCATTTGTAGTGAACGCTCCACCATTCGAGCAAAGCTTGTCGAGCCTCCTTTGGGAGCTTACCTTTCTTCTTCTTTTTCGAGAATTCGAGCTTTAGGTTGTTAATGTGGTTGCCGTACCTTCGTAAGAGCCGGTCCTTGAGCTCTCGGTCTTCTGTTTTCGTCTGAGGGTCCGGGATTTCGGTCTCTCCTCCGCTGTACTCCTCATCGGACGACAAAGGACCGTCATCTACGATAAAAGTCGAGCCGAAAATTATGAAGTATATAATAATGAAAAGGCAAGAATACAATAAATGAGACATGCAAAAACTTGGAAAGAAAATGAAATTATGTGTTGGAACATTCAGAAATAAATTCGTGTAGGGTTAATTTGAAAATTCCTAGTCAATACAGCAACAGTGAGGCGGATCAGAAGTGCCATCATATAAATGCTAAGCATGGGCCACCATGAGGCCCGGCCCATTATTCATGGGCCCCAAAGCCTTTCCCTACAGCAATAAACCTCAACAACTACACACCCAGATGTCCTTAACGAGACATTCGGCATGCACACATAGCAGCAATTGAGCTCTCTCTTTTTTTCTTTTTTCCAGGTTTTGAGTACCAAAACGCCGGGAAATACTACGGTCCCGTTACGGAAAATCAACCCGTCGGGGTTTGCAACCGTTAAATCATCAAGTATCCGTCAGGATTGATCTAACTGTTACAAAACCCCGATTGAATGATTACGTAACGGGACCATAGCATCTCCCTTAAAACTCCTACCTATTAACCAAAACAAATAGAGAAAAATGATGACAATTTATTACTTCTTGCGATCAATATGAAGAGGGTGCAGTTCTATAAGGTGAATCAGTTTCAATTTTTTTATTTCTTACCAATCACTAATCAACACTAATTTTTTTATATATTAATTCAGTTTCAATTATTATGTTATATTCATGTTCATTACATTAAATTTCTGAAAAAAACAACTCTATCCATTTTCTCATCTCATTTTCTTGACAAAATATTTTCCTTTTTTAAAATCTTATAACCAATTTTAGCCTAAAGGTCAACAAATAATTGAAGCAACAATTTAATTAGCATAGATGATAGACATAGTAATTTTTTTCAACTATATACACCTATATATTTGGCTATTTTAAAGGACAAAAAAAAATAAACACCAATACACAATTTGGGAAGGATTGATGTTTATTATGGGGGACCCCACATCAATTTGATGGTATAGTAAAAATAAAACAGAGTGCATATGAGCTGGCACAAAGTCCAATCACAAAAAAAAAAACAATAAAGAAAATTAAAAATCATAAAAAATAAATAAAACCACAGCCCTAATTTACAACCATTTATAGCCAAGTGAGA